ACCTTTGGCGGGAAGGGAACAGCGTTCCGTGCGCCTTCGGCATTGAGTCATGCTGGCCACAAGACCATGGAGACGTCTTCGCACAGCGCTGGCTCTTCGGCTTTGAAACGGGGTTGAGCACCGCCCCCTAGAGTCAGGAACGAGGGGAACCTTTATCTTTACATATATATGTAAATGTACGTATGTATTTGTGTGTGTGTCTATATATACATGTGTGTGTATGTGCATATATACTTTATACTATATGCCTTATTTAATAAATAAGTTTATTTATTTAAACTTAATTTGTATATTAGCGATTGCATGATCTCTCTATCTTGTGTGTGTGTGTGTGTTTATATATATATATATGTATGTAAGTATGTATGTATCACATGACCTGGGTAGAAATTATATATAAATATATAAATTATATATTTATATATATATATATATTATATTATGTGTGTGTGTATAATTTCTACCCAGGTCATCATGCTATCCCTGATATACAAATGTGAGCTTAAATAAAGCATGTGTGTTCGCTAATTTGTATATCAGGGATCGCATGATCTCTGTAGATCCCATATGCTGTGTAAAACAAATAAGGGGAAATAAGGAAGGGAGAAAACTGAATGGATCCTCCAAAGCTAGGCGCAGTCATTCCTAGCCGGCGGAGGGAGGGGGAGGGAAGGATGGAAGAGCGGCTTTCATCCGGGTCTTTTTTTTTCCTTTCAACCCTTCCGCCTCTCTCCTTCCCTCCCTCCGCGGGGGGAATGAGCCGAAGCGGGCGGGAAGTGAGAAGCGCCGCCTCCTCACGCAGGGGAAAAACCTCCCACCTCCGACGCGCCCAATCAAAACCGGAGGCGGGCCACCCCTTTGCCTTTTGAGCCGATTGGTCCCTCCCGGAGGAAGCCGCGTTGATTTTGGGCTCCTCCCCCCCCCCCGTCACCAACGGTCGGGAAGGCGCGAGCGCCGCGGGGAGGGAGGAGCCGCGCCGAGCCCCGCCTCCTCTCCTTAGAGCGAGTCCCTAACAACCAGGCAGCGGGGCGCATGCGCACAGGGAGTCCCCTCCGGACGCCGAGTGAGGGGCGCGTGGGGCTGGGGGCTCCTTCGTCTCGGCGCCCCCCCCCGGTCGTCTTTTCTCCCCCCGTCCCCCGACACCCCGAAACCATGGAAGCGCCTCCTCAGGGGAGCAGCCAGGTGCCTGTGAGTAGGAGGGGAGCTGCTCGGGGGGGTCTGAAGGGTCGGGGGGTGTCTTTGGTCTCCAGCCCCCTCCCCACATTTCTCCTCTTGACCTGGGGACCCCATTCAAGCCCTTCTTCCCCCACTTTCCAAGGACAATTTGGCCTTGAAAAAGTTTAAATCCCCCCCATTTGACTCCCCCCACCCTTTTCCATGGAAGAAAACCTCCCCCCGCCCCAATTACAGGGAGTCCTCGACTTACGACCGTAAGGCACCCCAGAATGTATGTTGCTAAGTGAGACATTGCTTAAGGGGCTTTTCTTGGCCAGGTTTGACGACTTTGGAGGTGTTTTTTTTTGCAACTGTTGTTAAGCGAATCCCCGCGGTTGTTAAATGAGGAATGTTGTTGCTAAGCGAATCACCAGATTTGCATGCATGACTCGTAGTTATGACGCTTACGGTGTCCTGGGGGGTGTCATGTGGATCCCCTTTGACGACCTTCTGGGACAAGCAATGGGGATAAGCCAGATTCGCTTAATAACGGGGTTGGTAAACTTGTAGGTGCTGCAGTGACTTAACTGGGGCAACAAAAGGTCGTAAAACGGAGCAAAACTCACTCCAACAGACAGTCTGGGCTTAATTGTGGTCGGAAGTCGAGGACCTACCTGTACATTTACTGAATTAGTGAACGTCCCTTCGGGTCAAGCCGAGAGGCTTAACTAAGCTCGGAGATACCCAGGTAGCCTTTGATTTACGGCCACAATCGAGCCCAGAATTTCTGTTGCTAAGTGAAACGTTGGTGAAGCCAGCCGCATGACCACGGAGACGTCTTCGGACAGCGCTGGCTCTTTGGCTTTGCAACGGAGATGAGCACCGCCCCCTAGAGTCGGGAACGGCTGGCACAGATGTGCGAGGCGAACCTTTGCCTTTTTCTAATGCTTGGGGTGTCAGTTATTACCTTCGGATGTCAATAATCGCAACAGCTTTTGATTGATTGATTATGCATGAATATATGTCAGTGTTTCTCAAACGTGGTGCCTTGAAGGCCTGTGGACTTCAACTCCCAGAACCCCCCAGCGCAGCTCTGCTGCGCTGGGGGATTCTGGGAGTTGAAGTCCACAGGCCTTCAAGGCGCCACGGTTGAGAAACACAAATGTATGTTGATTACACACAGCCGAACTTCAAGTGTAAAAAAATAAACAATTACCGCCGTGATGCCAAACCTGTGGCACGCCTCCCTAACAGTTGTAAGTCGAGGACTGGCTATCCAAGCTAATAAATATTTAACCTTAATTCCTTGCCAAACCGCAAGCCAAGCTTGTGCGGGACCTCACAGGGACTAGGCACTTGTATTAGTGTGCGATGTTCCACCAAGAGCTTTCCTTTCAACCCATCCGCAGAAATGTGGGAAGCTGGCCCTTTAATGGCTTGTGGACTTCAACTCCCAGAATTCCTGAGCCAGTCCTCAGTCACTTTTTCCAGTGCCGTTGCAACTTTGGGTGGTCACTAAACAAACTGTCATAAATCAAGGACTTGTAGTCTTTT